CATATGTCCAGTGCCAATTTTTTTTTTAGTGCCTAAACAAAATAAAATAAAATATAATGAAGTAAAAGGGGATATAGCCAACATTTCTTTTTTTTTTTCTGAAATTTCCAGAATAGTATTCTAAGGACGAAAAGAAAATTGAAGAAATTGCTGTATTTCAGATAGAATGTAAAATAAAATTGCTAATATTTTCCCCCAAAATAGTAATAGAATTTTAACTACAGATAACTAAGGATTGAGAACCTACTTGGAACAAGTAAAAATTGGTCCCATGATCGGTAGCACGTGGCTCCTATGCAGATTTCTCTTGCTCCGTTTTCAACGGCACACTAGGCTGACTTTCTGTGGCCGTAGTGGAATGAACTGTTAGGTTATCAAGAGAGGGGCTGCATTCCAACTGGTGATCGAAATAACTGAATTGCCCTTTGGAAGTTGGTGCCGAAGTAAAGCACGGGGAATAAGGTATGGATCAAGAACACCCTTTTGAAGTGCCTGTTTCATTGTGATTGTTTGACTGATTGTGGAAGCAGCCTCCCGGTTGTTCACGGGCTTTGCCCATTTTGTTGGATTCCAGTAAAGATCAGATCTAGGAAAGAAGATAAGAGCTCATTTTCAAAATTTTCTTTTGCCAACCTTTGGGGGAATGCCCTCATTTTTGATGCATCTCGGTGATTTCATCTGAGGATCATGAAGTGTGACCTCAAATGTTTCCCAGATGCTGAACAGTGTGAGTTGGAGGAAAGTAACCATTTTGTTTGATACAGATATTTAGCTTGTTACTTATATTACAGAAGAAAATAGACAAATGGAGTCTGAGATTATCTTTTCTCAGCACTTTACACCACTTTAATTAAAAAATAAAGCTGGAAAATGTATAGTAATATACAGCCAAAGTGAGAATGTATTCAAGAAAAAAAATTAATGTCCTTTACTTAACTTTTGTCTTTGATTATTTTGGGTCCTAATCATGATTTATAGAGATCATTTTTTAAGAAATTACTATTATTGGTTCTGTGGGTGATGTATTTATATATAGGCATGTGGGTTGGTACACGTCCTAGGGTACATGTGGAGCCCAGAAGACAACTTTGTGGAGTTGATTCTCTCATTCCACTCAATGTGGGTTCCTGGGATGAACTCAGGCATGCCTGCCACTTTACTCACCCAGCCATCTGGCTAGCCCTTTCTGATTTAGCTTATTTCTGATTTAATAGTAAACCTTCCTATCTGTCTCTGAACCATGCCTGCTGAAAGACTTTGGTCTTATTTATGTACTGCTTAGCTAGGGCGTTTCATACACTTTGCTTCTTATAATATTAAAAATATTCATCCTACGTACTTCTAACTCAGGTAAGAATAAATTAAATTAGCTAGGGTGTTTCATACACTTTGCTTCTTATAATATTAAAAATATTCATCCTACGTAAGAATAAATTAAAAAAAAAAATTAAAGGGGGCTGACTCAGCAGTTAAGATCACTATCTGCTCTTCCAGAGGACCAGGTTCAGTTCTCAGCTCCCACATGGTGGCTAACAACTGTCCGTAACTCCAGTTCCAAAGGACTGAACACCCAGGGTGTTTCATACACTTTGCTTCTTATAATATTAAAAATATTCATCCTACGTAAGAATAAATTAAAAAAAAAAATTAAAGGGGGCTGACTCAGCAGTTAAGATCACTATCTGCTCTTCCAGAGGACCAGGTTCAGTTCTCAGCTCCCACATGGTGGCTAACAACTGTCCGTAACTCCAGTTCCAAAGGACTGAACACCCTCTTCTGGCATCCACAGGCATTGCATGAAACAGGTGCATTTGCATGCAGAAAACACTCATACACATGAAATGAAAATCAATAAAAAATAAATTTAAAGGGCTCAGGGTAGCAAGTAACCTTTCTGAATTTAAACAGATCATGATAATTTTTCTCACTGCCTATGGCACGTCCTCCTGTCTCTCTGTGACTAGGAATGATTTCACTTCCTGCTTATGCAGCTGACAGAAACAAGCACCCAGAAAGGAAAACCAGTTACCAGTTCTTCACAGTGACATCAGTAATTTCCTGCCTCTTCGAAGATCAGCAGTCAAGGTATAAGGTAATACCTGAAAGAGAAGAAATCCCAAACATGTGTGAATTTAACTTTTTATACTGCCACGCTATGGCATGACGTTCTCTGGTTATGAAGCACTTCAAACCAGCTGGCTCTTTATTTGCTCAGTATTTCCATTATTTAATATGATGAGTTGTTTGAAAGATCATTTATAGTGTGACTAGAAACATACTGGCTTCAAGTCCTGAAGATACCATATGTTTTAGGCTTCAGATGCGGAAAAAACTGTGGACAGTACATGTGCGAACACTTCTGGCCAATACATGAAGGTGGTTCATCACTGCCCCCCACCCCTCCAGAGATTCTAGCCCATGCACTGTACACTCATTTCTACCTTTTCTTGGTCTTTAGTCAGCGTTTATAGTACAAATAATGCCTCAAAACAAGTCTCCACTGTCAGGACAGGGAAGACTGAGAAGATGGACAGCAGGAACATAAGAAGGTTGTGATCCTATGGTTGACTTTAGGAGCTCCTGGGTGGCCTACCAGTGGTTGTAACAAACTCAGTTATTTGGTGATGACATAAGAACTATCACATCATGGGCAGTTTGTACAATGCTCACATGAATATCTAATTCTTAAGGCCCTCCTGAAATTATTATATTGAATAGTGGTTTTAAAGATTCAGTAATATTAGTTTTCAGTGGAAAGTTAAGAGCTCAGGAAGGGTAATTGTTATTTTTGTTATCAGTGGTAGAATTTTACAAGGAAAGGAACTGTGAGAAGCTGCCGATGAGGCGGTCTGGAAGAACCGTAGTCATGTTCATCATCGGTATACTAGCAACAGGCTGTAGGGATCACTGCTGCCATTGATGACCTACTTGTACCAGGTCTGAGCTATCTTTGTTCTGGTGTTATGCAGATAGTAGGGTAAAGGCACAAATAACATGAGTGCAGCCTCATGCCACAGCCCCTCGGTGGCCACATGAGGAGTTAACTGTGTGGGTTTAGCTCAGATATGTTTTTTTTTTTTAACCTTCTCTCCATCATCCTTCCTTCTCTGTAAGTTATCAAGACATTGAGGGAAAGTACAGTGTAGTGAGCTGTCAGGCCTTTAAGAGACTCTTAACTACAACAAGAATGGCAATAACAGGGCTCACCCACTCTTACAGGAGCGGACACGCACATGCACAACGCCACATTTCCTCAGTAGCTCATGGAACTTTCTTTAAAAACCTTCTCTCCATCATCCTTCCTTCTCTGTAAGTTATCAAGACATTGAGGGAAAGTACAGTGTAGTGAGCTGTCAGGCCTTTAAGAGACTCTTAACTACAACAAGAATGGCAATAACAGGGCTCACCCACTCTTACAGGAGTGGACACGCACATGCACAATGCCACATTTCCTCAGTAGCCCATGGAACTTTCTTTAAAGTACATCATATGGGGCTGGAGAGTTGACTCAGTGGTTAAGAGCACAGACTGGTCTTACAGAGGACTTGGGTTCGATTTCTAGCACTCTCATGGTGGCCAACAACCATCCTAACTCTACTGTATAGTAATATACAGCCAAAGTGAGAATGTATTCAAGAAAAAAAATTAACGTCCTTTACTTACACTTTTGTCTTTGATTATTTTGGGTCCTAATCATGATTTATAGAGATCATTTTTTAAGAAATTACTATTATTGGTTCTGTGGGTGATGTATTTATATATAGGCATGTGGGTTGGTACACGTCCTAGGGTACATGTGGAGCCCAGAAGACAACTTTGTGGAGTTGATTCTCTCATTCCACTCAATGTGGGTTCCTGGGATGAACTCAGGCATGCCTGCCACTTTACTCACCCAGCCATCTGGCTAGCCCTTTCTGATTTAGCTTATTTCTGATTTAATAGTAAACCTTCCTATCTGTCTCTGAACCATGCCTGCTGAAAGACTTTGGTCTTATTTATGTACTGCTTAGCTAGGGTGTTTCATACACTTTGCTTCTTATAATATTAAAAATATTCATCCTACATACTTCTAACTCAGGTAAGAATAAAAAGAAAATTAAAGGGGGCTGACTCAGCAGTCAAGATCACTATCTGCTCTTCCAGGGGATCCGATGCCTTCTTCTGACCTTTGTAGGCACTGCATGACACGGGTACACTTACACACATGCAGGCAATACACCTATGCACAAAAAATAAAAATAATAAATAAAAATACATCATATAATAGGACACAAATCAAATCTTAACAAACATAGGTGAGAGAAGTAGTTCCTTGTAGTTCGATCAAAATGGAGTACGAATACAAATCAACAAAAGTCTTTAGATCATATACGAACTCACAGACCTGAACAACACACTGTTAAACAATGAATGCATCTTTCAAGAAATCAAGAAATGCATAAAAACATTCCCAGCATTTAATGAAAATAAAAACACAGCATACAAAACCTTGTGGGAAATAATGAAAGCAATCATATGAGTTTATAGTTCCAAGCACCTAAATTTAAGAAATCAGAGAGCTCAGCTGGTGATACATGCTTTTAATCCTAGCACTCAGGAGGCGGAGGCAAGTGACTTTCTGTGAGTTTCAGGGAAATCTCATCAACATAGTGAGCTTCAGGCCAGCCAGGGCTACATGGTGAGACCTCATCTAAAAAAATCAGAGAGCTTTCACATAAATAACGATACACCTTAGGGCCCTGGGAAAGGAACATGTCAAATGCCAAATGAACGAAATCATTAAGATCAGAACAGAAATTAATAAGATGGAAACAGAAAAAACAACACCAACAAAAATGTAAATAATCCAACAGACTGGATTCTTTGAAAAAAATAAATAAGATTGAGAGTCCCTTAGCCAAAATAACCAAATGAAATGACTAAAAGATTCACATTAATAAAATTAGGGATGAACTGGAGCCATTGTGGCTGATACCAATGAAATTCACAAAATAATTAAGTCTAACCTTAAAAACATACATTCCATCACATTGGAAAAAAATCTAACAGGAATGTATGAATTTTTTTGCATATAGTTCCTTGTAGTTTAGTTGAATTTTTAGTTGCATATAACCTACCAAAATTAAATAAAGATGAGATAAACAATTTAAACAGATATACAACAACCAGTGAGATTGAAACCAAAATTAAAAATATCCCAACCTAATGGAATCCAGATCCAGATGGATTCAATTGTGAATTTTGCCAGACCTCCAAAGAAAGCCTAATGCCAATGCTTCTCAACGTATTTCATAAAATATGAAAGAAAGGAACATTACCAAGTCTTTTTATGAAGCCTGTATAATCTGTTTCCCAAACCAGATAAAGACACAACAACAATAATAATAGCATCAAAATTGCAGACTCATTTTCCTCATGAACATAGATGCAAAAATTCCCAATAAAATACTTGCAAACTGAATCCAAGAACACATAAAAACTCGAAGGGAGGTTTCCATTGCCTGGAACTGAGACTTTTGTTAGATAATCTTCAGCTGTACACAGGAACTCACATATAATATATATGTGTGTGTGTATGTGTGTATAATGTGTTTATTTATTTATTTATTTAATTTATATACTATGTGTATGAGTGTTTTGCCTGCATTTATGTAAGTGTATCACATGCATGCAATGCCCATGGAGACCAGAAGAGGACATTGAATCCCTCAGAGCTGGAGTTCTGAAGGTTGTTGTTAGTCACCATGTGAGTGCTGGGAACTGAACCTGGGTCTTTCTCAAGAGCAGCCAGTGCTCTTAATCACTAAGCCATCTCTCCAGACCCTTAATGTGTATTTTTAAGTAAGATTATGAAACAATAATTTTCCTATGGTTTTCCAGATAGTCTTAGTGTTATTTCTCTCTCCTTCCTCCCTTTCCTCCTGTACTACCTTTCCTCTGCTCTCTCCAGTTAAAGTCGCCCCACTTTCCCCATTTCCCCCTTGATAGCCCCTTTGTCCTTCTATCCCCACTTCTCAAACTCCTTCTTCCCCCTCTCCCCATGGTTTCTTTATGTTTTGCTGGGCTCTGTGGTTTCCTCAGGTTATGCACTCATATCTAAAGATCCACAAATGAGTGAGAACATGCAGTTTTTGTTTTTTCTGGGTCTCAGTTACCTCACTCAGTATGTTTTCCGGATTCACCCATTTGCCTACAAATTTCATTTCATTTTTCTTTAGAGCTGAATAGAATGCCATTATGTATGTGTACATTTTCATTATCCATTCATCAGTTGAGGGACATTTAGATTATTTCCATTTCCTAGATATTGTGAAAAGAATAATAATAAACATTGCTGAGAAAGTATCTCTGTAGTAGGATATCAAGTTGGTCAGGGCAGTCCAAGAGACTCCCCAAATGATATAGGCTATTGCCTGAGCTCTTAGTTTTCTGCCAGAACTTGTAGGTAAGACCCTATTGCTGAAGACAACACACACTTCAGATATAGAGCTTGGAGAAATTGAACTATAACTGATGTGGAAACCCCTCCCTAAGGGCTAACTCTCATAGTGTCATAACGTGCTATGCAGCACTTTGATACATACATACATACAGATACATACATACATATAATACACTGAATCCATTTAGTGGTACTCCTGTGTACATGTGTTTAGGGTTGACCAATTGGGTTGGATATCTATTCTCTCTCTCTCTCTCTCTCTCTCTTGCTCTCTCTCATCTATCATCTATCTATCTATCATATATCTATCTATCTATCATCATCTCATCTATCTATCATCTATCTATCTATCTATCTATCTATCATCATCATCATCATCTCATCTATCATCTATCTATCATCCGATCTTTCTATCATCTATCTATCTATCTATATCTATCTATCTATCATCTATCTATCTTTCTATCTATCATCTATCTATCTATCTATCTATCATCTATCTATCTATCATCTATCTATCATCTATCATCTATCTGTAACAATAATAAAGAAAGGAAAAGAAATTGAGAGAGAGAGTGGGGAAAGCATGAAGAGAGTTGGAGGGGGGAGAGGGAAGGGTGGAAATGACCTCCACCCCAAGATAATGAAGGAATGTGGGCATGCTTGAGGATTAACATATCAAAGTGCTGAAAGACAGTGAGTGCACATCTTCATTGAAACCAATGAAAATTGAGAAAGGCTTCTTGCTGATAAGACAAGGTTGGATCTGAGTTTGTAGTTCTCCAATTGAAGCTGGATAAAAGATTTGGAATAAAAGTGTGGGTGTGGTCTGACATAGTTCTAGGACACAGTTACAGAGCACAGTTGGATGGCATAGTTCCCAGAGACATCTTGGGGAACAGGTGTCCTCAGAGTTTGGATACACTCTTAAAAACTAAAGTTGAGTAAGTGTTTTTTTATTCAGGCAATTGTAATGTTGCATGGTAATTCACATATAATTATAGATTGGTGTTGCTCTCAGTCTTGATCAGAGAAGCTTCTTTTTAGTACTTTATTATTTATATTTTATGTGTATGAGTTTTGCCTACATGTAGGTAGGTGCACCCCGTGTTGTGCAGTGCCCACTGAGGTCAGAAGAGGGCACTGGGTCCCCTGGAACTGGAGTTACAGACAGTTGTTAGTTGCCATGTGAGTGCTGGGAATCGAACCTGGGTCCTCTGCAAGAGCAGCCAGTGCTCTTAACCACTGAGCCATCGCTCCAGCCCCTAGAAACTTCTTTTTGAAATGAACAGTGGTTTATGCAGAGACGCACAATTGATCAACATGTGAGAATGCTGAGTGATCAGCCGTAAATGGGACATCTGCATTCTCCTCCATCCCAAGGCTCAGATAATATCACAGAAAAGGAGGTGGAGAGAATGCAAGAACAAGAGCATGGGGAGGAGTGCTGTGAAATGATGTCTTTTGAACATGATATGGCTGTCACACTATGAACTCACTGCAGGTGAAGTGATTGTATAAACACTGCAAAAGATCCAGAAGATCAAGCCCCTTGACTGCTCAGTAGGGAAGTGGAAGGCCACATAAGGCCACCTCTACCTGAGGGGCTGTTGTTGGTAGATAATGGCTGCTGGGGGAGGGCCTTTTTCTTTGGGGCTATAGCAAGACCAGAACATAGCGGGGGCATGTTGGGAAGGATTCCAGAGGGAGTGGAAGGGGGATAAGTGAGGGAATGGGAGTGCATACCATCAAAATACATTACACTCATGTATGAAATTATTAATGAATAAATAGAATATTATTAAAAGTCTCTGTGGAATTAAGACCCAGTGTAGACTAGACATGATGCTTACAGACGCTTTATGCTTGAGAAGAGTACACTGCAGGGATGAGGTCAGCTCTGCAGTCCAATGGTTCTCGTTTATGTCTTGGTTCTGTCATTTTTATAAAACCTGTGAATATGAGCAAAATACTTAACCTCGTCAAGCCACACTTTAGTCATTTCTATTCAGGGCATATATTATCCATGATCAAAGTGTCTGTTATGCTCTGTGATCTTCATGGTCAACCTGACTAGATTTAGAATCACCTAGGAGACACACCTCTGGGTATAGCTGTGTGTTTCCAGAGATGTTTAAGTAAAGAAGGAAACCCACTGTCTTAGTTTGCTTTTTCATTGCTGTGGTTAAGCAACTTGACCAAAGACAACTTGGGAAAGGAAGGGTTTCTTTCATCTCACAACTCCCAGGTCACACACAGTTCATCACTAAGGAAAGTCAGAGCAAAAACTCAAGGCAAGAGTCTGGAGGCAGGAACAGATGATGGAGGAACACTGCTGACTGGCTCACTCCTCTGGCTTGTGCTCAGCCTGCTTTCTTTGTTTTATTTCTTTTTTATTATTATTTTTATTTTTTGTGTATGAGTGTAATGCCTGAATGTATGTGAGTGTAGCTGTGCTGTGAAATGCCCATGGAGGTCGGAAGAAGGTGTCAGATCCTCTGGAACTGGAGTTATGGATGGCTGTTAGCTGACATATGGGTGCTGGGAATAAAACCCGTGTCCTCTGAAAGAGCAGCCACTGAGCTTAGTGGTCTTAACCCCTGAGCCATCTCTCCAGCCCCAGCCTGCTTTCTTATACAACCCAAGACTACCTGCCTCATAGACATGCCTATAGGTCAAATTAATAGAGAAAATTCCCAATTGAGTTTCCCTCTGCCTGCATTTGTCAAGTTAACAATCAATGCTGCCTAGCACACCCACCCTCAGTGTGGGAGACAGTGACTCATGGGCTAAATACAACCAAAAACAGGGAAATGTGAGCTGAGTATCAACACTCTTCTCTCTGTACTTCCTTACTGCAGACACGATGTACTTCCTTACAGACACGATGTACTTCCTTACTGCAGACACTGCTTCAAGCTTCTGCTGTCACAGCTAGAGCCGCTCTGACCACTATGCTTCCCTGCCATGATGGACAGCACCCTCATGCGTAAACTAAAGTAAGCCCTTCCTTCTCTAAATTGATTTTGTCATATATTATTTCACAGGGATGAGAAAAGTAACTAATACATTCTCTTAACACAATGTTTGACGTATAGTTAACGTGTGGTATCTATTACTCCCACTGCTGTATTGTTCATCTGTGCTCTACTTGACTACAGGACTTTGTGTTCGGTGCATCACAGCTACTCATCGGTGTCATTGACATTTGTCTTTTTGGGACTACCTGTAAACACCAGTGGTGGATAGCTTTAGGGTCAACTTGACACACCTGGGTTGAGGGAGCCTCAGATGAGAATTTCCTCCATTGAACTGGCCTGTGGCTATGTCTGTGGGGTATTCTCTTGATTTCTGAGTGATGAGGGAGGGCCCAGCCCACTGTGGGTGGTGCCACCCCTGGGCAGTTGGGCCTATGTTGTAAAACAAAGCAGGCTGAGCAGGAGCCAGGGAAGCAAACCAGTAAGCAGCATTCCTCCATGGACTCTGCTCCAGCTCCTGCCTCCAGGTTCCTGCCCTGAGTTCCTACCTTGAGCCCCTTGATGAACTGTGACCCAGGACATATAAGCCACAAATACTTTCTTCCCCAAGTTAGTATTGGTCAGAGTATTTCCTCATAGCAATGGAGAAGGCAAAGTAGAAAAATTGGTACTAGGATCATGGGGTATTGCTGTGACAGATCTGACTCAGCTGTTTTTGAGAGGATTGTGGAAGCATTAGGAACTTTGGACAGGAAAAGCCATTGAGTGCTTAGAGTTTGTTGCTGTGGAGCTTGGAACAGTTATGCTGAAGGAGTTGTAGATGATGGAGGCTTGACTGGTGAAGCTTCAAAGGGAAGCAGAGACTATCAGGGCTGTTTATGAGATATCTTGAATTGAGGATCTGTGGTTTCTGGTTGGCTGGGACGGAAGAATCAGCTATGATTAAGAGACCAGAGCCTGAAGTAAAACCTTTGCTTTACTGGTACAATTGATGCTGTTTGGCTGGGGCTGAAAACTCAGCTGTAAGTAAGGAGACCAGCATCACTGTGGTGAGATCTGGAAAGAATTTCCTCAGGTTCAGCACAGTGAAGCTGTGATTGAGAGGGGCCCAAGCCTCCATCTCTAGCTGGAAGCAGGACTTGGTAATGTGTAAGAGTCTCTTGCGTGGTTCTGGTGTTGAAATCACGAAGGGGTCACAGAGAGCAGCCAAGGCTTGGCACTCTGAGAAGCCAGGAAAGGCCATAGGTGAAAGCACAGCTTCAGTTGCAGTGAAGACTCCAGGACTGAAGAGGCCATGGAGAGATTCTGAGGCTTTGCACCTGAAGAGGCAAGAAGAGGCCATTGGTGAGGATGCAGCCTCAGTTTCAGTGGAGACCATAGCTTTTTGGAGATTCCAGGACTGTGGGAGAGCCACCAAGAACAGCATCAGGTATGGAATGGAGCTGGCCTGGGTCTGCGAGATGAGCTGTGTGTGCTGTGGACGGCAGAGTCAGAGAAGTGGAGCTGCCAGAACCCTTTGGAGCCCAGAAGATGGTGAGTGAATCCCAGGTGTCCAACCTTGAGCTACTTTGCTGGACTGAGGTTTTGCTTAGGTGTGCCCAGTTCCTCCCTTTGAAATAAGACAATATTGTTTTGGATTTTTACAGGAGTCCACAGTTAAGAGACTTTTAAAAGAGACTGTCAACTTTTAAGTGTTTTGATTTTTTAAGGACTGTGGGGCTTTTAAGGTTGTACTGTCTTATGTGATGTTAATGTTAACATCATATCTTGGGGACAAGAAATAGAAAGGTTATAATTTAATAGTGTTGTGTTTATGTGTCAAGTTGACAAGGGGTCAATTGTGCTGGATAGCTGGGTTGAGGGAGCCTCCATTGAGGAATTCCCTCCATTGAACTAGCCTGTGGCCATGTCTGTGGGGCATTGTTTTGATTGTTGAGTAATGAGTGAGGGCCCAGCTGAGTTTGGGTGGTGCCACCCCTGGGCAGTTGGGCCTATGTTGTAAAAGAAAGCAGACTGAGCATGGGTCAGAGGAGCAAGCCAGTAAGCAGCATTCCTCTATGGCCTCTGCTCCAGCTCCTGCCTCCAGGTTCCTGCCCTGAGTTCCTACCTTGGGCTCCTTGATGAACTGTGACCCACGACATGTAAGCCACAAACACTTTCTTCCCCAAGTTGGTATTGGTCAGAATGTTTTCTCACAGCAATGGAGAAGGTAAATTAGAACAGTACCTTTTATACTTGACAGGAATCATAATTTATGCAATCATTTGAAGATAGGTATTCGTTCTCCCAACTTTGTGTCAATTGCAATGCAAGTACAGGATCTTGGATGGCTGGCTAAATGTTTTGGTGATAGAACAGTGGTGACTGAGAGCAAGGCCTTTAGAGATTGTTTCCTGGGGCTGTGACTAGAAAGATGGTAAAGCAGACTCTGCACACCTGGGTATTATGGGACATAGAAGGACAGTAGCCAGTCTCCTGTAGTAGTAAAGACACCTATGGTGATCATAGAAAGCTATTTCTGTGGTGGAGTCTTGGCCACTTCTAATTTTAAATAGCGTGTGTGTGTGTGTGTGTGTGTGTGTGTGTGTGTGTGTGTGTGTGTGTGTTTGAAAACTGGGCTCTCCATATAGTTTATCCATTACTTGTATGCATGAAATACTGCAGGGCAGTTCTACAGTGGTGTTGAACACAAGCATGTATTTGAAGTGCCTATGAACACAGGTTCTCAGAAGATCAGATCTTCTATGCTGAACTTGAGGAGGCTTAACTTCAAACTATGGGTAAGTGCCTGGCCAAACCCTCCAGATTTTTCTTCTCTTCTTTGACCAGCAGTTACTTGGGAGCACGACCAGCGGGTAAAGGGTGGGAGTGCATGAAGGCAGGCCAACTTGAACAAGAACATCTCAAGACTCTCCTCGGCCAATGAAAGCTGTGGTTCCAGCCAGCATCAGTGGAATAGAGAATCATGTACTGCCACCAAAGAAGCAATGCAAACACACAGGAAGTGATCACTGCCAGAAGAATTGGTGCCTCAAAGCCAGGAAAAGAACTTGAATTTCTTAGCATCTTTCCAACAGAAGGACTTTTCTGTTCAAGAGAGTGTTGGCTCCTATTTATTGTATCAAACAATAAAACCATTCACGTGTATTTCTGTGATTTTTTTTTAAGGGAGTGAATTATGCTTCCTAATGGGGTTTGGTAATCTTAGATTAGTATCTTAGTTGAACAGAAAGAAATACAACAAAAATCTAATATTTTCCAGTGCATTAAGGGATGTGAAAATAGCATCCTTCAAAATACAATTGCAACATAATCAGTTAAATTACTGCCTGTTGAGACCCAGGGTATCCATGGATGGCTGATTTAAAGTATTGCTCTAAGAGAGGTTAAAGAACACACATTATTCAAGAAGGCAGTGTGGGGTGGTCACTCTAACAGCACCGGGTAGCTTCAAAAGATTGAAGAAACTCCAGTCATCACACCCCTGCCTCAAAGCACAAACTGAAACCCAAGAACTTCCCAGGACTACTAAAATGGTCTCTTTGTGCATTTTATGCCTACAGTGATCAGGTCAAGATCTGTAAAGCAAATGGGGAGAGGACTCCGTGTTTTGCTGAATCACAGCATTGCTTAAACAGCACGCAATGCTTCCCAATCTCTTAAGGCATTAGTCAAAAGATGGGCTTCTGAGGACGGCAATAGTTGGAATAATTAGAGCTCAGAAAGCTTCCCAATGCTATAGAGGAGGAGTCTACCTGGCCACCTGAAGCCAGCTCCTTTTCCCTTCTTTGCCTAAAGAAACAGTTCCATCTGGCTTTGAAGACACCATGTTTCCCTTACTATTTTGCAAAAGAATATCAATGTTTCTCATCCCCCTATGTTCTCACACTATTTATATTTTCCAGACCTAGAGGTTGAGGAAGATTAGAGAGTGACTAAGGAGTCTGAAAAAGTCTCCCCCACAAAAAACCACAACAGTTCTTCATTCATTTTTATTAGCAGCAACTAAACAAAAGATCAGAGTGGTGTCGTGAAATGGGCTCCCAGCCGACTAGAACAAATACTGAAGAAGAAATAGACCACAATCACCTAGTTTCCAAAAACAAGAGGTGTGGTTGCAACACTCCAGAACAGCAAGGGGGTGGTGTTAAATATTTGCTTGACCTACTTGAAGGCCCTTTCTAAATGAAGTTTAGATGGACAAATTCTTTTATATAAGAAAGAGAAAAAAACTGGAGTAGATCCATCGTGCATAATTCATTCTTTATTCTCCTATTTGAGAAGGCACAGAAGACATGTCTTTGGTAAAGTCTCAGAAAGCCACTGTTGCAGGAGCAGCAGTTCTTCAAACAGCATTTCCGTGGTCTCTGTAGATGAGGGATGATGCTGTGTGGAGACAATGCAGTTAAAACCACTTGTCTGGCATCAGTGATGATAAAGTATGCTTTAATGTCAGGCATAAATAAGGAGCTTGTGATCACTGAAGTATGGTGAGAAAGGTATCCACATTTTAGGACCGAGGTAGGGAAGTAACTGACTTGACTCAGAGTGAGTTGTGATTATGACTTTTTGATCATGGGGTATCAGGAGCAAAATCAAAAGGTAGATTACTAAACAGTTGTTTATATGGTGCAACTTCAATACAAACAAAGGAAAATGTTTAGTTCTTGTGGAAAGTCACAGTTTTCTATAAAATTCCCAAATATGAATCTGTTCACAGACCCAAAGTTCTAGAAAAGTGGAGGCACAGGTACTCATAGTGAAGATCTTCATGGAAATTTCACATGCATGCTAATATGAACCTTCACCCGCTCTTCCTCTGAAAGATTTGTAACCATTAATAAGATCATCCTTAAAGGGTTAGGGGTTCTAAAACCATCCTACAGGGAATTATAAATTAATTTACTCACATTTGAATCCCAAATGGAAAAAAGACAAATGAAAATTTGACCTGAGTCTGCCTCATAGCAGATCCACTCTGACCCCATTCTACAGCTATTTCATTAGTAACTTAACGGTTACACACATCTTCATGGAAAATGAGAATTCACATTCATTTGCAGGTCTGCAGAGTAAGTACTCTATTTAAGACTATGATATAAGTTCTCATTCCTTGCCAATATAGAAAATACACAATTTTCATTAGTGAAAACAATAGAAGGTATTCAAACTTAATACTCCAGAACCAAACAAAAATTGGATAAAAATCATAGTCAAAACATTACTGAAAAATAGACACCCAAAGTTTAAACTACACAAAGTCAACAAATTCTTGCATGGGAAAGAGTATGCAGAGTTTGTGACAGGCATATATATATCCATATATACATATATACACACATATATACATGTATATGTATACATATACACACATACATATATACACATATACATGTATATACACACATATACACATACATATATATACACATACATATATACATATATACACACATACATATATACACAATTACACATATACACACATACATACACACATACATATACACACATACATATATACACATACATATGTACACACATATGTACACACATATACTCACATGCATATATATATACACATACCTATATACACACATACATATATATATACATATACATGTATATATATGCATATGTATAAACAATATCAAAAAGAAAGTTTATACAGATGCAAATATACTGAAACAATATACAATCTACAGAAACATGAAAATGCATATAGGACCTAAGAAGCTATTCTTGGAAATTTAATGGATTGAGGGAAAGTGAGTTTGACGAAATGGAGTACTTTCTTTTGAAAACTGAGTAGACAAGGGAAAAATTCATAAGTGGAAATAATTCTGTTTTTCATAAGATTCAAAAATATCAACTACAAGGGGAACAGCACTATTTCCCACCCTTTACCTTCCTACTCCTCACTGTAATCAGTACAGAAACCATTCTTTGAAAAATGATTGAAGACAGTGACTTTGAAGCTATTCATAAACTGCTCTAAATGACAGCACTGTGCATAGAATGAAGATGGCAAGTGTGGTTATCTATCTCATTTAAGAACCTTAAAACTCCTAGAGAATTAAAACCCAAGCAATTCAAGTAAGGACAAGTCTCATAAGATGGAGTTTACTGCATTTAGAAAAGAGATTTGAAAAGACCAAATGATACTAGAAATGAAACTTAAACTAAAATTTCCTAAAGAAGGTCATTGGAATGCAAGAAGACAGCAACATGTATAAGTATAGTCCTAAAGCATATTAATAAAAACCCTGCTCCCTCCAGGATTTTGAACATAAATCCATGTTCAACTTTGTCAAAGGGCTTTTCTGCATCTGTTGAGATGATCATGTTATTTTTGTCTTTGAGTCCATTTATATGATTCATAACATTTATTGACTTATGAATATTGACCAATCCTGGCATCTCTGGAATAAAACCAACTTCATCATCGTGCATGATCATTTTAATGTGTGTCTGTATGTGGTTTGTAAGCATTTATTTGAGAGTATTTGCATGGCTAAAGCATAGAGAGTAAGAGAGTCTGAGAGTGTGAGTCCTTGGACAGGACTCCTGCATAGTTTACCCACTCAGGGCTCAGGGACCATCACAGAAGAGGGGGCAGAAAGACTGTAAGAGCCAGGGGAAGAGGTGCATGACCATATGGAAATAGAGCCCTACAGGCTCCTGGGACCCTGCTCATATGAGCCTACAACAATGGTATCAGCATGCACAGCACCCATCCAAACCCAAACAGACAAAAACCCAGCACGGAACTGTGGAAATGGACAGCAGGCCCCAATCTTAGTTGAAGAATTAGTGGCAGCTCCTTACTGCTGGGTGAGGGAGAGATGATCGTAAAAGGAGAGACTCTAGATAGGCTGACTAGACCTCAGTGGATGAACTTGCTCTGAGGGACATCTGGGGACACTAACTTGACTCAATATGCATTAACACAAATGGTGGAATGCATGAAATCCAGTGGGGCCTATGGGAGGGTGCCAATGAGGAAGGCGTATAAAGGTGATTAAGATGTTCTATATAAAATACATGAAAGTTCAATAAAAAATTTACAAAAAGATCTTGGTGAGCCAGAAGTGGCATTTAAAAGCATAATATGTTGTATATACCTCCAGAAATGGCTAAGGATGGTCCAGTCAGGCCAACCCTTGTGCAAATAACAATCTCCAAATCTGAGAAAGCACAAAAGGCAGTTAATAGAATAGCAAAAGATGCAGGCAAGTGGTAATGGAGTCCATGACTGATGCAGGATTAGTAATGGATTAAATATATGTTTTTGCACTTTTATAGAAATGTTCAACTGCTAGGGACATTGATGGGAAAGCTGCAGTTCTTTTAGTTCAAACAGCCAAAGGACTTAGATTAGGAGAATCATTCCTACTAAGGAGAAAATTTTCCTGGATAAGAAAAAGTCAGGGAAGGGTGGTTAGATCACATTTCTCAATGGCATATTATTCATACTGAGTCCTGGGTTCAAGTCCAACCAAGGTAAGTGTCTGGTGAAATTCACAGAAACAGTATGCCTAAAATAATCATAAGACTAAAATACATCACCACCTCAAGGCTCAGGGATCATGGAGGGAGAAGGGATGGAAAGATTATATGAACTAGAAGTAGTAGATTTCTGCAGTGAAACAGAATCTGCCAGACACAACAGGGCCATTGCACACATGAACTCATAGCCACTGTGACTGCATGCACAAGATTTGCACAAGACCAAGCCAGACAAAACCCTGGCATGAATGGGGGAGGGGCCCGTGAAGTTCAACCCCTTCCCCCATTCATGACAACTGATGACTGATGAGGAATGGAAAGTCGGTTTTGTTCAGGGATGTGTCCTTTGAGAGGCTACCCGTGGTCCTATATGTGGCCCTACATCCATGCACCTGCAGACGGCACCAAGAGAATTCATCGGGTTTAAAAAAAGACCCTATCAAATTTGGAGGTAAAGTAATGGAGGGATGGGGATAAATTGGAATGGAGGGCATGGGGGTATATTTGGTCAAAACACATTATAAGCATGCATGGGAATAATTAAGCAATAAAAAATTTTAAATGTTATGGCTGAAATAAAAAATTTCCCAGAAGACAGAAGAGAAACGCAGTGAAGTATCCATTTTGAACACAACAGG